CAGTGCCTCCGCGCAGCGCGCAGTTCTGACGCGCGCGTGCAATTGTTCCCACCGAGACAGAGGTTAGGGGCAATGGTAAATCTTCAGGCGCGCGCGCCCGCAGTGCCGCTTGGCAGTGCTCAGAGGCGGCTGTCGTCATCATCTGTCTTCAGCTCTTTTCTTAGAACGTCCGAAAGCAGTGCGGCATCTCCTAATCCTGTGAAGTCGTCGCCGCAATCATCGCTGCCGCCTTCGACCTGTTTTGGCATCTCTGTCGGTTTGCTTCTCAGCATTGCGTTATTCCTTTATTTTATTTGGGCATTGATTGGCAATGCCGTCTGCGCGCGCGGCGCGTCCACTACGAATATCGGATAGGAGGAAATTTGAGGTGGGTCCCCGTCAAGCTCAGCCGAGAGGGGAGGAGATCGATCATCTTCGATGAACGCAACTCGTTTCTCGTGGCTCGGCGGTTGCCCGTGCCCGAGCAAAGCCGGGGGGCTGATTCCCAATGCAGTTTCGCCCGTGACCCGCGAAAACTTTTGAAGCGCCCCCCCCCCGGCTTATTCTAGCACCGCAATTTTCTGCAATATTCCACGGGGCCACTTTCGCGGATCGATATCTTTAGCGCCGCGCGCAAACAACAAAACAAAATCCCAATCGGCGGCGGCCCCTATGGGGCCAAAAAAAGAATTCGCAGGGAATGTCAAGGATCCGAGGCGCGATGGCTGAGGCGCGCGTCGGCACATTGCCGCGCGTGCGCTCGCGGAGGGATAAGCGCAAGAGTCCGAGAATAGCTCAGCAGTGCTTAGTCGAGCTTAGCAGGGCCCAGCAGCGCTTAGCAGAGCATTGCCAGGCCCCGGGCGCCCTCTGGATGCCCTCCTGGCGCCGAACTAACGCTTCCAGGGCGCCGGAAGCGTCGTCGCTTCGCCGGAAAGGGGGTTCTTAAATACTTTTCGCCGTTATGTTACGGGCCCCAAATGGCAGCGGCGCTCTCCACTTGCACCTGGTCGGTTGGTCTTTGATCTTGATACCTTCGATCACCTTCTCACCGGGTAAACGTGAAATCGGTAACAACCTGTGGCTCTGACTGTCAACGGGAGGTCGCACAGGAGGTCGTAATCCCTTTATCCGAAGTTCTGCCATGTCGGGGACCTCACTTGAGGAATGTTTACCATGGCATCATCCTCGGGCGTCCTATGACGTTTCGGCCCAGGAATCTCCCCCGCGCGACTTGTTTTATGATCTGCTTGGGGAACGACGGGGGCCACTTTACTTTTGTGAAATATCAGACTCAATGTCTATGGTTTCCTAGTTCGCGGACAAATCACGCGACGTGCCGCCTCCCCCTTGCAACGGTTGCACGAACGTCGAGCCGCCGCCCGCGGCAGGAACAACAGGATCGTCACGCAACGAGAACATGTGTGCACCAAGAAGAAGAAGAATAAGAAGAAGAAGAATAAGAAGAAGAGCGGTCTGCTGACCGGCCGGCGGGCCGGGCCCCTGACGGCGCGCGGAAGCGCGCCTGGGCAGACCGAGTGAGACTAGCAACGTGTAGACAGAGCCTGGTGTGAAATCCATGCGCCTGGCGGCTTTACTGTCGTGCTGGTGAGACAGGCTCCTGGAGCGCCGCCCCCGCAACAGGGCCACATGCCAGGAACGCAGGGGTCCGCGCCCATGGGGAGGGGAGAGAGGAGAGGGAGGGACGGGGAGGGGAAGAAAGGAAGGAAGAGAGGGGGAGGCAGGAAGACAGGAAGGGCACAGACCCGAACGCCCCCGAGGCGCGAGGCCCTGCGCGAGCGGAGGCCGGGTCGGGGTCTGGAGCGAGGCCCGGTGGATCAAACGCATCAGAGATCGTCTGACCATCGCTTGCATGGTCGCCCTGAGCGCCTGCCTGGGCGCGTCTGGAACCATGGGGCCCAGTCCAGCAGCCGGCTGTTCCATTTTCCTTTCGTGCACGTGCTTGTCTTGAAGGCGAACTGCAACTTCCGCGTTCTCTGCGTCTCGACCCACTCGCGTAATCCACGTTCACGAGCCTTCTGTTCGCATAGACGAGTGGACCTTTGGACGTATGATATCCACTCCTCCTCATGTCTTACGGGGATCTGGAAAATCTTTCGCAGCATTCTGCGCCGTGCTCTCGTGAGCGCCAGACGGTGCTCCACCTTCATCGCCCAGCACGAGCATCCATATAAAGCCGTCGAAGTGACTACCGAATCAAACAGCTTCAATCTCGCTGATAAAGGACATCTCCTTGAGCATAAGGCGTGCCGAAACTTTGCAAATGCTCTCCAGGCAGCCGAAACACGATTTGAAATCTCAGCGCCGTGATAATCTTCCAAATTGATTACGCGACCCAAATACTTCTCTGACCCTCCCGGTGGAATATTCTCGACCTGGGAGCCACCGACGAACATGAAACCACCAGCGATGCCTTGCACATTGGTGAGAACCTTCGTCTTGTCGAAGTTGATTCGGAGCCCGTATCTGGCCGCTGCGGTCTGGAGGTGGCCCAACATTTTCGCTGCGTCCTGTTTGGTCTGCGAGAACAACAAGACGTCATCGGCGAAGCGTAGATTCGACAGCGGGTCCTCCTGGTCATCGATCACAAAACCAAAGTATTGCCCATTGCGCCTCCGGTTGAGCCCATGCCATTTCGCCTTCAATGATCGAAAACATGATTCCATTACTGCAGTGAATAGCAGAGCGCTGAGTGGATCTCCTTGTTTCACACCCCTGGCCAAGCTGAATGAGCGGGATTCAATCCCAGCGATCACAGAAGCAGTCTGATCGGTGTACAGTTTCCGAAGCAGTTCAATGTACGACTCATCAATCCCGAACTCGCGCAGAACGCCCCACAACTCCTCGTGTTCGACCGTGTCGAAGGCCTTCTCGAAGTCTACGAGCACGAGCCACAATGCCTGATTCCACTCGCTGCATTTTTCGACAAGGAGGGTTAAGGCGAGCAGATGGTCTTCGGTCGAGAAGCCTGGGCGATAAGCTGCCTGGTCTTGTGATTGCTGCGATATGAGAGCACCCTGCAAGCGATTGCAAACAATTTTGGCGAAAAGCTTATACAGTATCGGCAGGATCGCAATTGGTCTGTAGTTCTTCGGAATCGCAGGGTCCCCCTTTTTGAATAAGAGAATCAGTCTAGTGCGTCTCCACGATTCAGGTGGTTCCTTGTCTGGCTGAAGCACTGAGTTGAACAACGAGAGGGTGCTTTCCCGCAATGTATGGCCGCTGTGCTTCAGCATCTCTGCAACGATGCCGGCGGAATCCTTGCACTTCCCGTTCTTCATGGAACGAACGGCATCCGTCAGCTCGAGCATCGTGAAATCCGGGGGTGCACCGCCCGCAGCCTGTCCAGAAGGCCTCTGTTCCCCGGTGCTCGCGTAGAGCGACTCGTAGAAGGAGGCGAACACTTCGGCCACGTCTTCCTTCGAGTCTTTGATGTTGCCAGAAGCATCGGTTACATGCGCAATGTGCTCTCGTCGCGCCGTTGCCCCAGAGTTTGCAATCGTGCTCAAACCTTTGAAATCACCCAAGACTTGTTCGATCCGCGCCGCTCTCTGGTTCACTCTTTTTTTCCGGATCAAACGTCTGATTCTATGACTCAATGATTTTCTACGCTCTGCTCTCTCCTGCACAGTGAGAAATGCAGATCGCCTAAGTTGACGCCTTTCCTCCACTAGGCGGCGTATTTCTTTGTCTTCCGGGGTTCGTTCTGGCTTCCTCCGGACGCGGGGGCATGTCAAAGCCAAACCCTCCACCATCACATTCTCGATCCTAGCTGCTACATCGGAAGGGCTTCCTTCGGTGGCGGGCTGCTCCTGTAGAAGACGGTCCACGCACGCCTCGTAGCTGTCCGCGTCTACGTTTGGCCCCCAAGACTTGTTTGCAACGCGGGTCTTCTTCTCTATCTTTGCGCCGAGAACCATGCGCATCCTGAGCGGCCGATGGTCTGACCCAGTGTCAATATTTGAAGTCGCCTTGCATTTCCGAACATTGGGCTTCCGTGCAAGCGGGACAATGATGAAATCGAATTGTTTCTGGATTGATCCGTTGACGCATGTCCAAAGATGCTCCGGGTCGGCAGTATCAAACGTGTTGACGAGGCAGAGACCATTCAGCGAACACCACTGCAATAACCATTCACCCCGCTGATTCCTCGACCCTATCGGGTTCGGCCCCAAGATACGCATTTCTTCATCATCGTGCTGCGATTGGGGCCCAACCTCTGCATTGAAATCCCCTGCAAAAATAAATATCCCAGGCAATTGCAACAGAGAGTCCAACGATTCGTAAACTGCTTCAACGTGAATATCTGCATACCTGGAATGAGGCATGTACACGCTCACCAGATTGATGTTCGAAGTGTCTCCACGCAGCGTAAGCATCGCTACTCTCTCAGAAACTGCTTTGAAGGTCGTGTAACCCCACCGGCGGTGCAAGAGGAAACCTACGCCGTTGGATCCTTTGGTGCCTCTGCTTCCGAACCATGTGTGCCCCTCTTCCGTGGTAAGCACTTCACGCTTGAACTCTCTCCATGTCTCCGTGAAAGCGAATACGTCCCAGCGCATTGTCCCCACTTCGGCCAAGATAGCTTCAAACCTCATATCGAAATCCATAAGCGAATGAATGTTGTAAGAGATAACGACAAATTCGGTACCATGTATAACGACACCATTATTGCTAGAATGCTGTGAGTCGGCGATCTCGGGCGGAGGCCTCTCCAGCACACCCGCAGTCGCACTGGTAATGTGTCAATCGCTGTCAGTGGCCGGATCTGGGTCCAGCTTCGCCCACCAATCCTTCATCGAAGTTTCGGTGAGTTTTTCCACCTTCTTTGCGGCCGTCCGAACATGCCACGCACCGTCGTCATCGAACCAAGCTACCTTTTTGCCTCTTGCCTTCACGAGCTTCTTCCTCCAGACGATCTCCACCTCTCCCTCCTCCGCCTCCTTCTCTTCCAAAATATGGTATTTGGTATATCCCAACTTTTTGTCGACAGCTTTCTCGTCCTTCGTTAGGTTATTCCGGAAGAACAGCTTTCCGAGGATGGAGGGGTCGGTGTTCGTGCGGATAGCCTTGTAGAACTTGATCTTGTCCTGGAACGTATCGAAGGTAATGATTCCCATCTTCGCCGGGTCCGAAACCGTATCGATCTTGGCCGTGTTGTTATCGGGGAGCACCTTCGCCAAAACGTTCTTCAGTTCGGCTTTGATGACTTTGGATTCCTTCCTCTCCGAGAAGCCGAAGGCCAGCACCTGCCTGAAACGCTCCTCATCTTCCCCCCCTCCGTTTCCTTCACCTCCTCAACCTCCACGTGTAAAGACTTTAGCCCCTCCCCCTTTCTTGTCGATGGTCTTCCTCACAATCTCCTCCACCTCTTCCTTTAAGGAATCTTTAAAAACACACACCTCCATGTCCGCCTTCAGGTTGGTAAGTTCGATCTCCAGATCCTCGACCTGTTCCTTCATGGTGCTGACCTCGACCTGTGTGTGCTCCACCTCCTCCCGGACCTCCCGGATCATGCCCTTCAGCGAGTTCACCCTGGCGTCGATGTTGTCGAGGCGCTTGTGGAATGCAACATAATTCATATACGACAGGCTCTCTGGAATGGGCACGAGTATCTTCCATATGAACAATCGCGCTGTTAGAACTGACTGCAGTAGTCAACGAATCTGGTCCATCAATAACGCCTTTGGCTGATAACCAGTCAGTCGCGAGAAAATCATTATCCTGGCAAAGCAGCCTAACAGCGATGTGTATAAGCATATCTGGAAGCATTCCCCTTAAGATTCAGGTGAGAATCCAGTTGTAGAATTCTGCCGTTCTCGCAGTCGCAGTCGCATTCGCAATGGCAGTCGCAGTGGCAACGGCCTTAGGATCCAATGGAATCCTAAGGATTCCTAGGGATTCCTAAGGCATCCTTAGGCATCCTTAGGAATCCATAGGAATCCTTAGGAAACCTTAGGACTCCTTAGGAATCCTGACTCCTATGGATTCCTAAGGATTCCTAGGGAATCCTAATGATTCCGAAGGATTCGCCTGCCTCGGCCTCAGCCTCAGCCTGCCTCAGCCTCAGCTTGCCTCAGCCTCAGCCTCAGCCTGCCTCAGCCTCAGCCTGCCTCACCATCAGCCTCAGCCTCAGCCTGCCTCGGCTTGCCTCGGACTCTGCCTCAGCCTGCCTCGGCCTCAGCCTCAGCCTCAGCCTGCCTCAGCCTCAGCCTGCCTCAGCCTGTATCAGCCTCAGCCTCAGCCTGCCTCAGCCGCAGCTTGCCTCAGCCGCAGCCACAGCCACAGCCTCAGCCTCAGCCTGCCTCAGCTTCAGCCTCAGCCTGCCTCGGATTGCCTCAGCCTCAGCCTTAGCCTGCCTCGGCCTCAGCCTCAGCCTCAGCCTGCCTCAGCCTCAGCCTCTCAGCCTCTCAGCCTCAGCCTCCGCCTGCCTCAGCCTCAGTCTCAGCCTGCCGCAGCCTCAGCCTGCCTCAGCCTCAGCCTCAGCCTGCCTCGGCCTCAGCCTGCGTCAGCCTCAGCCTCAGCCTGCCTCAGCCTCAGCCTGCCTCAGCCTCAGCCTCAGCCTGCCTCGGCTGCCCCAGCCTCAGCCTGCCTCAGCTTCAGCCTCAGCCTCAGCCTGCCTCGGCTTGCCTCAGCCTCAGCCTGCCTCAGCTCCAGCCTCAGCCTCAGCCTGCCTCGGCTTGCCTCAGCCACAGCCTGCCTCGGCCTCAGCCTCAGCCTCAGCCTGCCTCAGCCTCAGCGTCAGCCTCTCAGCCTCAGCCTGCATCAGCCTCAGCCTCAGCCTCAGCCTGCCTCAGCCTCAGTCTCAGCCTGCCTCAGCCTCAGCCTGCCTCAGACTCAGCCTCAGCCTGCCTCGGCCTCAGCCTGCGTCAGCCTCAGCTTCAGCCTGCCTCAGCCTCAGCCTGCCTCAGCCTCAGCCTGCCTCAGCCTCGGCCTCAGCCTGCCTCGGCTGCCCCAGCCTCAGCCCGCCTCAGCTTCAGCCTTAGCCTCCGCCTGCCTCGGCTTGCCTCAGCTTCAGCCTCAGCCTGCCTCAGCTGCAGCCTCAGCCTCAGCCTGCCTCGGCTTGCCTCAGCCTCAGCCTCAGCCTGCCTCGGCCTCAGCCTCAGCCTCAGCCTCCTCGGCTTGCCTCAGCCTCAACCTCAGCCTGTCTCGGCCTCAGCCTCAGCCTCAGCCTGCCTCGGCTCACAGTTGGCTCCGGGCAATCAAAATATGGTACAATAAGGATGTTCTGGGAACACGAAGAACAGGAAGTGGCCTACAGTTGGCTCCGGGCATTCAAAATGTGGCCTGGGAATGGTGTTCTGGGAATACGAAGAGCACGAAGTGGCCTACTGTTGGCTCCGGGCATTCAAAATGTGGCCTGGGAGTGGTGTTCTGGGAAGACGAAGAACACGAAGTGGCCTACAGTTGGCTCCGGGCATTCAAAATGTGGCCTGGGAGTGGTGTTCTGGGAAGACGAAGAACACGAAATGGCCTACAGTTGGCTCCGGGCATTCAAAATGTGGCCTGGGAGTGGCGTTCTGCTGCAAGAATGCAAGGATTCCTATGGAATTCTTAAGGATTCCTGATGCTGCCGGATTTGTCTGGATCCCGCCCAGACCCCCCTGGGGTGTCAAGATGCTTTCTTTTGAATCCACTAGAAACCTATCAGCAAAAGCTGTTAGGTAATTACCACTCCAGGAAAAAGTGTACAGAGACGAGAGAGAGGGAGAGAGGTCATGATAAAGAAAAACTATATCGTTCTCTTCCCTGAGTGCCCTTTTTCCCCTCACGCGCGCGAGACACGCGCGCCCCTGTTCGGTCCTTAAACGGCTGCGGAACGGCGTCGGCGGACGGCGGCGGGCGTACAGAGCGAGCGGGGAGAGCAATAATCAGTGATGCGGCATTGCTCTACCCATGGTCTCCAGCTTTGCATTTCGCATATTGAACGCCTGGCGGTTTCCATTGTCTATCTGCACCTAAGCATTCTGCAACTGATCGCTCCACCGTGGAATTCGACAGATCAGGTGCACTTTCTTCAACGTTTGAGCCGCATGTGACTAACTGGTCAACGTTTGTTCTTTTCTGTTCGTCCACTGTTGGAGTTCACCTTGTCTGTCAGCTTTATGGCAAGTCGTTTGGGATAACCTGCGTTCAAAGATGTCCGAGCGTTCCGCGGAACGGGCCCTCTTTATCATGCTTGTGCACTACCAGAGCTTCCGTTCGCGGTTCAGGATGCTCAGGAGTTCTGCGCTCACTTTGCCGCGGATTTGCACCAACTGAACGCATGCTCGCCTGAAAGATGGCTCCTTTTACAATTCACCGCTGCACCGTGGTTGCCTTAGAGAGCAGCTTTCGCACATTCGGGATCACGACTGGAATGCCGACAAACAATTGACTCATAATCTCACCAAGTTCTATTTGAACCATTCTTGCCTCGTGGCCGGTGTCTCCTCATCCTCCTCGTCCTCCTCTTCCTCTGCCCGTCTCTCCTGACTCCAGGTCCCTCGCCCTGATGCGGCAGCCGGGGGAGGGCGCCCCCGCAGGCCGCCTCCAAGCCTCTTGGGCCCCGCGGTTCGTTTCGGGTTTTCGGGGGCCCGCGAAGGAAGGGGGAAATCCACGGCGTAACATCCACACGAAAACTGGGATCGATAGCCCTGGCACTCAGCGGAGTTCAAAGAAACGAACAAGCGAACGCACAAAAACGAAAACGGCGGAGGTTCTGGGGAGGAAGGCCAACACCAGGAGGGAGAGAGGAGGATGAGGAGGGAAAGACAGCAGTAGTAAGGGCGGGGGGGAGAACGGTGACCCCCATCCCCCTCCTCATCCCTCTCCTCATCCCCGATCCCCTATGGAACAGCAGCGCCAAGAGCCCGCGAAGGCCCGAGGAGGACCCAGAACTCCGACATCGAGCCCCAGAGGTCTGGACCCGTTGCCCGGGACCAGTTTTCCATCCTGGATAACTCGTTGGCTGTCCGGTGGACCTGGGAGGCCGAAAACGGCCAAGCACGTTCCGTTGAGATCTTTCTTTTGACGAGAAGCGGCTGGCGCACGACAAGGGGCGCCTTTCGCTGCGTCTGGGGGCGCGGCGACCACGGACCTCAAGAAACCCATGAATCCGCTGCCCGCGGCGTGCCGCGGCTCGCGCTCCCAGGGAGGGGGGCCCCCCAACGAGGAGGGAGGGAGAAGACGGGGGGATGGGGGAGGAGAGGAAGGAGGAAGAGGGAGGAGGGAGGGAGGGAGGAGGGAAAACGGGGGGGCGGGGGGGGAAGGGACGGAGAAGGGGGGAGAGGGAATTCCGAAGGAGGAGGAGGGAGGAGTAGAGGGCCGATTTTGAAGGGGGGCCCAGGCCTGCAAGCGCTGCAAAGGAAATCGTACGGACGGGCGCCACGGAACGGTTTTCGGCCGGGGGGGGGGCGGGCGCACAAAACACATGATTACACCCGGAATACATCCCCCGGGATGAGGTTTGTAGCCCTCGGGGGTCGCCGTGGCAAAGCAGCAGACACAGCACACACGCACACACACACACACACGCACACACACACACACACACACACACACACACACGCACGCACGCACGCACGCACGCACGCACGCACACGCACTCGCACTCGCACTCGCACACGCACACGCACACGCACACGCACGCGCACACGCACACGCACACGCACACGCACACGCACACACGCACACACATTGGCTGCACCAGCGATCGAGCTAGACGGGGGCACCAGAAAACGAATTGGCCAGCATGCAAGAGTGGGAAGAGGGCAGAGCGGGCGGCCGCGGGGGGAGGAGAAGAAAAGACCACTCAGAGGCTGAAGAGTTCCAACCTGAGTGTGCTGGCGCGGCAGCACACACACAAACAAACACACACACACACACCCTTCTGGCGTCGGGGCCCTGCGCGCGGCGACAGGGCGGAGAAAGTATAAGAGCAAACAACGCACACGCGGACTAGAAACGGCCAAGCCCTCAAATACCGCTTTGGGTCTCGCAGCCGCCGTCAGCTACAAACCATCTGGGCGGAATGGCAGAGGGGGCGGTGGGTAGACAAACCTACGGTGCGGTGAGGGCGGGGGGGGGGCATCACCGTAGAACGACCAGGAGAAGGGCGGGGGGGACAGGAGCCGGCGAGGAGCGGGTGCCAATGTCAGCCAAGGCTGGCATGCACAATAAGCAAGGAGGTCGAAGCAGACCTGGCAGTGACGGCGGCAAGGGGCCGCAAAGGGGGGGCCAGCAGCGGCGCTGCGGCGCCGGCCAGCTGGGCGGCGGCCAGGAAGGGCAGTGGCCGGGAAAGAAGTCAGCGCGGGCTGGACAGGAAACCCTGTCCGCGAGGACTGGCCCGGGGAGCCAGAGAGAGGGCGGGCTGGAGACAACCCAGCGGCGCGAGGGCGAAGAGACCACTGCGAGGACAGCAGCAGAGCGGGGGGGCCAGAGGGAAGGAAGTGGCAGAGGTGCGACGGGGCCTGGAGGAGAGCGCGAGCGCGCATGGATGTCCACGTCGAGGCAGACTGACCATAGCGTAAAGGGGACGGCCCGTCACCAGGCAGCGCGGAGCGCAAGAAGCATCTCCCAGCAGGATAGAGGTGAGCCCAGCTTGTTCACTGAGTCCTTGACGCCCACACACCACCCGCGGGAGGAGGACCGTCCAGGGAGGACAGAGGCCGCAGGAAGCCTCCAGAGGGGGCGACCCGTTGGGGCCAGTGGACGGTAGCCCAGGGGGAGGGGGACAGGGCTAGGGACGGCACTCCAAGGGGGACAGGAAGGGGCACGCCCCAAGGCTGGGGCAGCCCACTAGCAAGCTACCTGCGGGAAATGGGCCGCAGGCACAACCGAAGGAATCACCGGCAGGATCACCGCCGCTTCCAGGGGTGGCGCTGGTAAACCTGCCGCGAGGTAGGCCGCTTCCTGGCTGGAGGGTCATCCTTACTGGATGGAGCGCGGGCCGAGAGGGCCTCCGTGGGGGCAAGGCTGAGAAGGCGAGGGGATCGAGGAATTCTTTCTGCTCCGTGGCCGAGTAGAGCGCGGGGCTGGCGTCGTTTAGTGGGGGGCGATAAGTAGGAGGGGAAAGAAAGGTGCACTTTTCGAGCCCTAAGGTCCCCCTTTTGGGCCCTAAAGGCCCTAAAGGGCCCCTTTAGGGGTCCTAAAGGGCTCCTTTTCTGCAGTCCTCTCTGCTCGCTGCCCCCCTCAGTTTTTATCGCGGCGAAGGGAGAGCGGTCCCGGGGATCAGGGGCCCATCTCTGGGATGGGAGAAGGTCCGCATCAACCATCCAGCCTTAGCGAGGCAGTCAGGAAGCTGCTCCCCAGGAGCAATTGGGTGATCTGGTTCACCACGAACACCTGTAATTGAACGCCGCAAGCGCCACCGCCAGGGTGAGAGGCGAGGGCAGGCAGGGCGGCCACAGGACGGGCGGGTGTGTGTTGCGCGGGCCGGTGCGGGGGCCACCGCCGAGAGGGCGGGCGCGGGGTGCGGCGCCAGAGCTGGCGGAAGCATCCCCCAAGGGAGGAGCAGGGGGGGCGAGCGCACCTCCAGAGGAGCTGCTGGAGGCGGTGGCAGGGGCGACACCGTGCAGAGCGGTGTGGCAAAGTGAGGGGGCCGGCGGGGGGGGGGGCAAGGAGCGGGGCGCAGGCCCTGGACTCCAGCTGGGAGGGGGCAGGAGGGGCGCCGCCCAGTGGGCCCAGTGGGCCGCGCCGCAGAGGCGAACCGTGCAAGGCGGGGCCCCAGTGCCTGCCGCGGGGGGGTCGCCGCGACCGCCAAGGTTGCTTGGCTGCCCAATGGCGCCGACGGGGTCGCTCGGGCGGCCGCGCGGCCGCCCGGGACCCCGAACGGCCTCCTCGGGAGCGGAGGCGGCCGATCGCCCACGCTGGGACGCGAAACGCTGGACGGCGCCAGGAACCGATCGGAACCAGTGGGGAAGCAGGCCGAAACTGGGGGTCTGAGTCTGAGGCCCCGCTGACCTGCCGCGGGTGGCAGGCGAGGACGCGGGGGTGGTACCTTGGCTGGTGGGGCCGGGAGCGCAAGCCCGGGGATGCGGAGGCATAGGGCGCGTGGAGGGAGCGGTTGCCCCCAAGACAACCGCGCACCACGACGCTGAATTCTCTGCGCCTCCCGTCGACATGGCCCTGCTTCGGCTGAGACAGCGACCAAATGGCGCGTGGCGCAGCGGTGAACTCGGGATGGGCCCCCACTCGATCCTCTGATCGGGCATCTGCAGCCAAAACAGCAGCGAGGGGAAGAGGGAGGAACGTAATGGGGAATGGATACTTCGTACGAGGCCGCCTCGCGAAAGCTCGCCGAGAGGGTCACCAAAAGGAGCTCCGAATCTTGGCGAGAGTACCAAACCAAGCCTAATTTGGCCCCAATTTGGCCGAGTGCACCGAGAGCACACAACAATACGCAAGCGCACGTTAATATTGATGGCACGTGTACGTTTCTTTCAAGCATATACATACATACGTACATACATACATACAGACAGACAGACAGACCGACAGACAGACATACATACCTACAGACAGATTGACAGGCATACAAACATACAAACGTACATGCGCACAAACATGGGTGCGTGCCTGCCTGCATGCATACGTGTATATGTATGTATGTTTACACGTGTTTACATGTGTGAGTAACAAATGATGTGACGTGAGTCGGTTGCTACTGGAAATTTATCCACACCATGTGTTCAACCTGTTGTGTTGACCTGATGTGTTCCCCACAACCTAAGTGGGGTGCTTGGTTTCTCTGGATACCCGGCACATGAACAATAACGCACCACCACCACCACATCATCATCATCATCATCATCATCATCATCATCATCATCATCATCATCATCAACATCGTCATCATGATCACCATCATCATCCTCATCCTCATCATCACCGCCATCAACATCGATCAGTCATCACTCATACTGATATGTCTCCCAAATCATTGTTATCGGTCCCCCACCATCGCCATCATATCCCAAATCAGACTGGTTTCCTCCTGTCATCATCATCACCACCATCACACTCTGCATCCTCACCTTCATCATGCTCGAGTATTAACAATCGTTATCCTCATGATTCCCCGCATCCTATTAAGCGGGGCTCTTGGAAGGTAGTCTCGAGCGGGAGCCCCGTCTGTGTGAATTGCGAGGAAGCCTCCTGCTGGCCCCCCCCCCCATGACGCCCCCTGATCATGTTACTAATACGAGCGGGCCATCGGAATCCTGTAACTGTCGTCGCCCTTGGCTTTTTGAAACTTGGCTATGGAGGAAGCCTCAGGCAGGAACATCGTATGTGAGCGACTTGCGAGGAAGTCTCAGGCGGGAGCCCCCTACCTATGGGGCCTCCAGATCACGTTGCTGACCCGAGCGGGTCATCGGAATCTTGTCGCTGTCGTTACTTCTGGCCTCTCCAAGATTGGCTACGGAGGAAGTCTCAGGCGGGAGCCTCGTTTGTGAGTGAATCGCGAGGAAGTCTCCGGCGGGAGACCCCCTCCCCATGGGGCCCGCAGTTAATGCTACAATCGGAGCGGGTCATCGGAATCATGTGACTGTCGTCGCGTTTGCCCTGTTCAAGCTTGAGTACGGAGGAAGTTTCATGCGGGAGCCTCGTCTGTCAAGGAAATTTCCGGCGGGGACCCTCTCCCTTTGGGGCCCACGGCTCACGTTGCTAATCCGAACGGGTGGTCATCGGAATCCTGTAATTGTCGCCACTTTGGGCCTCATCAAGCTTGGTTATGGAGGAAGTCTCAGGCGGAGTTTCGTTTGTGAACAAATCGCAAACAAGTTTCGAGCGTGAAATTTCGACATGTGGGGAGCCAGCTTCGGCGTGCTCGCGCTCGCGCTCGGACAATGGGCGTATCCATTCCCTGGTAGCTGGAATCTCCAGCTGGCCTGCCACAGGCACTCACGCGCCACCCCCTCGAGCTATCTGAACAGGAGGAGGGGGCGGAGGCGCAAGAGGAAAAGTAACAACAGGAATCTAGGAGCCCACGGCCTCCCGCGGGGTTGTCCCAACGGGTTCGCGACCTTGCCATCGGAAAACACGCCCGTGCCGGGCGTGGCGGCGAGGGCGCCGAGGAACATCTACATTCGCGCCCCTGCCAGGAGGAAGGAGAGGTGCATGAGGAGAACCGGCGGGAT